TTTTCCAATTTGCTTCTATATATTACAATTCAAATATTTAAATTGTCTTTCTTTCCCTTCGTATTCATAAAGATGAAAAGATAGATTATTTTTAATGCTGTATATGTATTTATAGTTCTATTTTGGTGCATATAAGAATTTATTTGTTTACTTGCAGACATTGTTTGGATTTTATGCTACCGGAAACGTTCCTCGATCAAGAACAAAGAGATTATAAATGCAGAACTTGTAAATCAACTGTTTCTTACGAAGAAGTTGAAAAAATGCTAGAAAAGATAGGCATACATCTTTTAAGTATGAAGAAAAACGATCTAATGGCGAGTAAAGAATTTCTTCATAGTTACGTAGATACTCTCCACCCTTTTCATTTTTATAATATTGACGTAATCATTGCTGTATGTCAATTAATTGGCCAACAAGATGGAGGACTGCCAGGAGTAAAAAAAAATCTCCTTATAGAGAAAGTAGAAATATGCAGAAAACTTGTTCCTTTACTCAAGCATCTTGTTCCAGGTAATTTGTAATGGAGTATATCTTTCTTGTACCAATAATTCGAACTAACTATAATTATCCAATATTTGACTAACAACCGTTTAACCGGAAGTTATTCGCAGTAAAACATTTAAAGATACTTATAAATTTTTTTAAATGGTGCTTTTAAAATATGTTGTTAAAATTGGTAGAAATATTCCAGCTATGAACATATTACTGTGAAGTTCACACCTAACTCTCAACGGTCATTTCCGAATCTAAAATCGTTGTGTTTCCTGTATGAACGAAACAGTTTCCAAAAAGAAAATAATTTTTACTATGGTTAAAACCATATGGCAACAATGTCGTTATCGTGAAAAAGGAGTGTACAAGACACATTGAGAAAACTTAGATAGGATACAAATTTCGAAATACACAGAACAAAATACGTCGAATAGATTTTGACATCTGCTACTTTCTCATTCTTTATGATATAATTAAATAAGTTACATATAATTATCAAGTTAGTGTTTTACATTCAAATGAAGTATGCGCGATAAAACCATCCGAATTTTTCTTGTGACATGTATTTCTCCTTTACATAAGAACATTAAAGATTTTAAAGTACTCATGTTTGCTCTCTCGTTGTAAATCAGATTCGTACATTCTCTATAGATATGCACATTTTATTTCAGCCGAAAACCGAATTCGAGGTATGATTCTCTTTGAATTATATGCAGCACTCGCAGAATTGAGTAAAAGATACGCAGAAATGGATATTGTGGTGACATTATTGGTGAAAAGAAATATTAAACGCATACATACAACATTTCCGTATATGTTTAATAAGTATCACGAATCTCCTTTTTTTTTTCTAGGAAGAATCAAAGATGCATTTAATCGACAGTTGCCTATTATTACAGCATGAATCAAAACTCCTTCCGGAAGGGCAAATAGCTTACTATGGTCAGAAAAGCTTACATGATGTGAACAGCCTTCTGGAACGATTTAATAGGGAATCAAGAATGCATTTGAAGCTTAGAAAAGTTAAATTTTATGACTTTACGAAATGAAAAATGAGAACGTGCTAATTAAAGAGTTACTTAAATACATGTATAGAAGTACAGTAATGTCTCTCTTATTGACCACCAACACGGAACTTAAACAGGACAATTTAGGAATCAGGGACACTGTTTTCGAGCCTTACGCTCGCCCTTGTAGTTTGCCGAACGAAGACAAGGACAGCGAATAAAAGAGAAGGATCGTGAGTCGAGGCAACCAAGCGATTTAAACACCAACTTTTTTAATTTCGCTATCCCGAAATTTTTCTTAACATATTGATGAGATTTTTCTGATGAAAATGACATCAAACACGATATAATTTGAACAACATTTACTTATTAACACGTTCATTGTCACGTCAGATTTACAGGTTGCTTTCAGGCGGCCACAAGAAAATATTCATTATTTTAAGCATAAGATTATAGTATTATGCTTATTATGCTTTATAACTATTTTTTTTTAAATTTAAAATAATGTCTAGTTAGCTATGACGTTCAAAATTTTTAGTTGACGATATTTTTTTTATTTTAATTATTCTAAACATTTGAGGCACTCCGGTCACTGATGACCACTATGGCCCCATCGAGGAAACAATCTCCAGTCGCAGGTGACCAACATGGCAGTCAACGTGTTAATATTTATTGAGTGATTAATTTAACCTCTTCAGGGACACCGACATATATGTGTACATTTAAATTTTCTGAAAATTCCAATATTTGCTATAGAGAAAATATGAAAAACAATTTCCCAAAATCTCCAAATATCTCTTAAGGAAAGTAGTTTAATTGCTATCGATTTAATATGAATATAAATGTAACTATGTATTTAAAAAATTAGATCAATATTTTCTAACTTTAAAAAAATCGTCCCTGAAGAGGTTAATTTTATAATATATCGCTTTGGATGAATTGCTAAAAAAATACATTAAATATCTGTACATATTATTCATCGAATGTGGAGAGAGAGACACCGTCAATTCTAGAATCGAGACACCGTTTGGTGGCCAATTATAGAATCAAGCCACCGTTTGGTGGTCAATTATAGAATCGAGACACCGTTTGGTGGTCAATTATAGAATCGGGCGTACAGATATTTAATGTATTTTTTAGCAATTCATCCAAACCAATATATTATGAAATTAAATTAATCACTCAATAAGTATTAATAAGTAAATGTTGTTCAAATTATATCATGTTTGATCTCATTTTCATCAGAAAAATCTCACCAATATATTAAAACAAATTTCAGATAAAAAAAAGTAAAATTAAAAAAGTTATATTATTCTATTATGAACTGTTCAGCCGTGAAATCTCGTAAAAGGAACCGAGTGGTGTAGTGTTACACGATTGACTGACTGCGAGTGAGATGACATAGGTGCAGCAAGGACGCAGACCTAGGCGTAGGACCATCTACATATGTGGTCAATTGTAGAATCCAAACTAGTGGCCTATTGGAGAGACATTCCTGTATGTCGATACGACTAATATCGAGTCACAGCGACGAGCGTCTACCAGACTGACAACTTTTATGCATAGTTTAGTAGAACAGTCTCTTTTTAAATAAATAATTACTAATAGCTTTTGCATAAGTTACGATAGAAATTATATGCCATACTCTTGATTTTCCATTAATTTTGTACTTTTACGTAAATAATTCCTAAATCATCGAATATACTGTATAATTATAGCAATCTAATAATGCAAAATGTATATTGTGTAGTCAATATAAAAAGTTACTACAATTTATCTTCTGTAGCGATCCTCCTACGCTCTACCACCAGAGGGACGGACTAACTGCAAGTTCCCGCTAGTCTTCATAAAGGCTCCCTATTTGTATATACAGGGTGTCCCGTAACTCCTCGAACACCCGGAAATGGGGGGTTGCTGGGGTGACTCTGAACAACTTTTTCCTTTACCAAAATATTGGTTGAAGCTTTGTTTTTGAATTATTAATGAAAGACACTGGCCAATAAGAGCGCGCGTAGAGCCCGCGCTCAACAATGGGTGCACTGACTCTCATCCGCGCGCGATCGTGAACAAACGCACTGGCACAGCGTGGGTATCGAGGGAAGCGTGCGGCAAATGTTACATCGTTTTAAATTAAGAATAGTCTGGAATTATTCGTTATTCATGAATAATAAAGGGCTTGTTGGCAGTACACCTACATCTCAGTTCAGTTTTTCTTCTACCAACCGTCGAGACGTATCCGCCGAGCTAGTTAACGCATAAAACGATTGTATTTTCCGGGCGAATTGTACACCTACCATCACATTTATATATATGTAAATTGAGGTGAAAACAGTGTAACGGCGTTTCCTCACCCACCTCAGTGTCATAAATTACACTATTATCCATACCGTATTGTAAACGGGAAAGTTTGGCTATTTTGCGATTACGATGTAGCAACGATTTATGTTGTATAATATCGTCGAAAACAGTAAAAGTGGCTGTGCAGTGAAGTGAGTAAAATCAGCCGTTGAGGGTTGCCTTGAAAGGTCAGGATCGGCACAATGACCCACTTCCGTCGAAGCAGGTTAATTCGTGGACAAATGGGTAAGTTTTTCATAAGTAATAAAACCCTTTATTCCTTTCGGATAATGAATAAAAGTATCGAAAACAGTTATTAACACGTTGAATGCCGTGGGGGTGATCGGTGACCGGTGGTCTCAAAATTAGTAAAAGCATTTAATTTGAATAAATGGTAGTATTTGTAAAATTTTCACGTAATGCATCACACAGCATATTTTATTTCTAACTATTGACATATTATTTATGCATATTGCAATGTGTTGTATTAAAATAAAAATTTCTTTCCGGCATTCAACGTGTTGAACGACTTATTAGTTTATTTGTTATTCATGAATAACGAATAATTCCAGATTATTCTTAATTTAAGACGATGTAACATTTGCCGCACGCTTCCCTCGATACCCACGCTGTGCCAGTGCGTTTGTTCACGATCGCGCGCGGATGAGAGTCAGCGCTCCCATTGTTGAGCGCGGGCTCTACGCGCGCTCTGATTGGCCAGTGTCTTTCGTTAATAATTCAAAAACGGAGCTTCAACAAACATTTTGGTAAAGGAAAAAGTTGTTCAGCGTCACCCCAGCAACCCCCCATTTCCGGGTGTTACACTCTTTACGAAACACCCTGTATGTTGCAAACTATTTATGGTTTCCTATACCTGCAACACTACACAAAATTCTTATTCATGGTGCAGATATTATAAGTACGTGTATCCTACCCGTAGGAACGCTTGGCGAAGAAGTTAGTAAAGCTCGTAATAAACATTTTAAAAATTACAGACAATATTATAATAGAAAAATAAGTCATAAAATAACTTTGGCAGATGTATTTTATAGATTAATGTATACATCAGATATTATAATATCAACTTTAAATATTAATTCACGCCTAAGAAAAAAGAAATTTTATCCATTTCACAAGAGATAAATTATTTGTTAGCTGCTCCTGAAATAAACGTGAGCAGCTATGCTATTTCTCATGTACACGATAGTGATAGTGAAGACATGAATGGAGATGAAGACGAAGGGTGTAAAAATACAGATCTTCTACACACTTTCACACAATTAGATGAGCTTGAACTGTCAAACGAACTGACAGAATTTTAAATTTGTGTTCAATAAAAAACGATTGACGTTACCTACAGAATCGTAAATAGTGTTGCGTCCGTAACCTCCAAGTTTAGCGAACCTCTCTTGTCTTCGGGGAAACCATAGAAATCCTACAACGGTCACACACTCTGCATTCACCAAAATTCCTTCGGGCAGTTACAGCGAAAAGCCACTCAAGGGTAGTGCAATAAATCAGACAAGAACCGGGCGCGTCACTCGAGACTATGCGAGGAACCGAGGGCCCGACGCTCGAGGATGCCCGACGCTTCGATGCCCCAAAAAAGGGGCAATTGTTTAAACTTGGGTAGGATCGCTGTACTGTCCGGAAAATTCACAAACTATCTACTCTTGTCTCAATCTTTCCTCCTCTAACCCATTTCCACCACCCCGAGGACAGAAAAGGGAAGCAGCTTAAAAACCCAACGCGCTTCCAGCGCGGACGCTCAGTTGTATACCCTTGCATTAAGGAACGCCTCTGTACACAAACCAACAATGAATAAACTAGTGTGAAATAAATCCTGCGGTAGTCACTGTCGCCGCCCCTATCCCAAGTAAACTCCTTGAATGGACTGACCGAAACCGGGGGCCGTGAGGTACGAAAGGTACGTAACATTACTGGTGACAGCGGTGGGATTATTGATCGATAGTGACTACGCTTAACTGAGACTGGTGGACAAAGTGAAGTGTACGAGTGTTATCTGTGCAACAAATTAAAGAAAATGCCTCTATCGCGCACTCCGGGACGAGAGCAAGCAGCTTGCCCAGTGGAGACATCCTTGGAGGCGCAAAGGAGGTAACTGGACGAGATGCGATCATCACTGGCGAATCAAATGGCTCAACTGCAAGTTCAGCAACAACAACTCGCAGCGCAACAGGAAGAATTGGCACTACAGCAGGAGCTCTTCCTCGAACAACAGCGGGCTCGACCTCAACAACAATCCCCTCCAGTCGTGGACGAAGACGACCATCCTACGCCGCCCGTGCAGAATCGTGGAGCAAACAATATGTTACGTTATACAAGGACGCCCTGGACGCAATCCGGGAATACGACGGCCAGAACTTGGACTTCGTATGCTTCGTATGTTCGTATGCTTCGTATGCTTCGCCGAAGGCTGCGAGGAAGCCCTAAACATGATTCCCCATCACTACGAAGAAAACTTCGTCAAATCGTTGCGGAACGAACTGAAGGGCGATGCGCGGCGATCAATTATCGGCACGCGCCGCACGAGACCGTATATGAGGCACTAGGGAAACTCGCGAATGTTTTCCAAAAATCAGACGAGGAGGTAATTACCTTTGCCAACAGAGTTCGCGAATTAGGGAAACGTATTTTAGACGCGTTCAAACGAGAATACGACTCGATCTCTCCTACCTTTGTCAATAGTACAGACGAAAATTTAAAAAGATGTTTTTTACGAGGTCTGAAATCCGAGATAGCTGTGCGTATACCGTCGATGCATCATAATTCTTTGAACGCATTGATAACAAAAGCCATCGTGATACAAAAAGAAAATGACGCGATTTACCAAATG